GATGAATCAAACATCAGGATTGCCCCACAGGGGGGAGAAGGGTACCTGTCCATTCCAAAGCTCCTGAGAGCTCAGGGAACAGATACTCTTGTGTGTATTGTATGAATGGGGGTTTTTGTGTGTGCGCACCATGGTGATAATCGATATAGAGTAGAATAGGTCATATCAGAGTCTCTCTTAGCACCTCGGTGTGTGTATTTGACAGCCGGAGAGTGGTCAGCGTTCCTTAGGATCTAAGATAGTTGGGAAGCTCCTAGGTCTGGCTCAGTAATTGCCACTAGATAAATTCAGGCTCCTTCCACCAAACTTCTCTTTGCAAAGTTTTTTGCTGCTTACTGTGGCCAGTTGATGGCAGCACAATGTAGTTTGGCTCAGCCTCCTTCAATTCTCCTCTGCTAATTTAGCCCTGCCTCTAGTTACAATAATCCTGGGGGATCCACACCCTGGAGTGGGCACACTTCAGTGGCATCCCTTAGTGGGATTTTTTTAAAGCTCATCTTTATTCTATACTAGAAAGAGAATCTGCTGTAAAATCATCCAAACTACAATCATCATCATCACTAACAAAACCATCCAAAGCACAGGACTTGGTGGTGATGGGGGACTTCAACTACGCAGACATCTGTTGGGAAAATAAGGGCACAGATTATCCAATAAATCCGTGGAATGTATTGGAGACCATTTTTTATTTTAGAAGGTGGAGACAGCTACTGCAGGGAGGCTGTTCTAGATTTGATTTTGACAAATAGGGAGGAGCTGGTTGAGAATTTGAAAGTGGAAGGCAGCTTGGGTAAAAGTGATCATGAAATGATAAGAGTTCATGATTCTAAGGAATGGTAGGAGGGAGAACAGCAAAATAAAGACAACGGATTTCAAGAGGGCAGACTTTAGCAAACTCAGGGAGTTGGTAGGTAAGATCCCAGGGGAAGCAAGTCTAAGGGGAAAAACAAAAGAAGACAGTTGGCAGTTTTTCAAAGCTGCTCCAGTCTGGCATGGAAGGGGTTAGAGCAAGCCAGAGAGGCTGCGCAGAGACCCAGCCAATCATGGAAGGGCTTATTGGGAGCCAGGCAAGTGGAGGCTTGAAAGCAGCCAATCAGGGCCAGGCTGGGTCCTATAAGAAGGCTGCAGGGCAGAGAGGAGCTCAGTCTCTCCCTGGAGGGCACAGGGAGAAGACCTGGCTCTTAGAGAAGCACCTAGGACCGGACGGGCAGGGCAGGGCAGGGCAGGGCAGGGCAGGACAGGACAGAGGCTGGGGGAGCTCTAGGCTGACGACTGCCAGCCTGGGGCCCTGACACAAAGGGGCAGCGAAGTTGCTGGCGCTGCGGGGAAGCAGCCCAGGGGAGCAGGCAGAGGAGGAGAGTTGGAGGAGGGCACTAAGTGGCTGCCACCAGAGGGTCCCTGGGTCGGGGCCCAGAGTAGCAGGTGGGCCCCCCGCTTTACACCTACTTGCCAATGAGGAGAGTGGCCTAAAGCTGGACTGTAGTCTGCCCTTGGAGGAAGGGGCTAGATGAGGACTGCAGTGAGCCACTGAGGCGAGGGGTAAAACCAGAAGCTGATGGTCCCCTGGACAGGTCAGGCGTTTTGGTTCTTAAATCGCTGTCTGGGAAAACACGGGTGTGCATTAACCCTGCCTGAAGTTCTTTGTTAAAAAGATGGGCCTGACCTAGAAACAAGCTCAGTTTCCCAGGTGTGGGCCCCGCCACGCCCTGGGGGTGTGCTAGGGGGACCAGATGTCCCGATTTTGTAGGAACAGTCCCTGTTTTGGGGTCTTTTTCTTAGATAGGCTCCTGGTACCCCCTGCCCCCACCCCGTCCTGATTTTTCACACTTGTTGTCTGGTCACCCTAAGGTGTGCACATGTGTGGGTCCCAGCTGCTCCCTGCTCCCCTCATTGAAGCAGGTGTGCAGGGTTACTGTCCTGGGAACTGCAGGGCTCAGTGGACGTGGGGCCAGCTGAAGACAGGGTGCGTGGGGCAGGGCTAGTTGGAGACAGGAGGGTGCGGGATTGGCTGGAGACAGGGCAGGGAGTGCGTGCGGCAGGGGATGTCTGCGGGCAGGGCAGGTGGTGCGGGGGGTGGCTGGAGACAGACTGGCTGCAGGCGGGGGTGTGGGGGTGGCTGGAGACGGGCTGGCTGTGGACGGTGTGCGGGGGTGGCTGGAGGCACGGCAGGGGGTGCGGGCAGGGCAGGGGGTGCGGGGGAGGCTGGAGATGGGGGCTGCCTGCGGGCAGGGGGTGCAGGGGTGGCTGGAGGCAGGGGCTGGCAGCGGGCAGGGCAGGGGGTGCGGGGGTGGCTGGAGATGGGGGCTGGCTGCGGACAGGGCAGGGGGCGCGGGGGCTGGCTGCGGACAGGGCAGGGGGCGCGGGGGCTGGCTGCGGACAGGGCAGGGGGCGCGGGGGCTGGCTGCGGACAGGGCAGGGGGCGGCTGGAGACGGGGGCTGGCTGCAGGCAGGGGAGGCAGGAGGTACGGAAGTGGCTGGAGGCGGGGGCTGGCTGCGGGCAGGGGGTGCAGGAGGTGGGGGCTGGCTGCGGGCAGGGGTGCAGGAGGTGGCTGGAGACGGGGGCTGGCTGCGGGCAGGGGTGCAGGAGGTGGCTGGAGACGGGGGCTGGCTGCGGGCAGGGGGAGGGGGTGGCTGTGGGCAGGGCAGGGGGTGTGTGCGGCGGGGGCTGGCTGCGGGCAGGGTTGGCTGGAGGCGGGGGCTGGCTGCGGGCAGGGGGTGGAGGGGGTGGCTGTGGGCAGGGCAGGGGGTGGCTGGAGGCGGGGGGCTGGCTGCGGGCAGGGGGTGGCTGTGGGCAGGGCAGGGGGTGGCTGGAGGCGGGGGCTGGCTGCGGGCAGGGGGTGGCTGTGGGCAGGGCAGGGGGTGGCTGGAGGCGGGGGGCTGGCTGCGGGCAGGGGGTGGAGGGGTGGCTGTGGGCAGGGCAGGGGGTGGTGCGGCGGGGGCTGGCTGCGGGCAGGGCTGGCTGGAGGCGGGGGCTGGCTGCGGGCAGGGTGTGGCTGGAGGCGGGGGCTGGCTGCGGGCAGGGGTGCAGGGGCGTGGCTGCGGGCAGGGGGTGCAGGGCGTGGCTGGAGGCGGGGGCTGGCTGCGGGCAGGGCGTGGCTGGAGGCGGGGGCTGCTGTGGGCAGCGTGGCAGGGGTGCACTGGTGCGCAGGGTGCAGCTGTGCGGGGGAGGCGGGCTGGCTGCGGGCGTGGCTGGAGGGGGCGTGGCTGCGGGCAGGGGGTGCAGGGCGTGGCTGGAGGCGGGGGCTGGCTGCGGGCAGGGCGTGGCTGGAGGCGGGGCTGGCTGCGGGCAGGGTGCCGTGGCTGCGGGCAGGGGGTGCAGGGCGTGGCTGGAGGCGGGGGCTGGCTGCGGGCAGGGCGTGGCTGGAGGCGGGGGCTGGCTGTGGGCAGGGCGTGGCAGGGGTGCAGGGCGTGGCTGCGGGCAGGGGGTGCAGGGCGTGGCTGCGGGCAGGGGGGCAGGGCGTGGCTGGAGGCGGGGGCTGGCTGCGGGCGTGGCTGGAGGCGGGGGCGTGGCTGCGGGCAGGGGCGTGGCTGGAGGCGGGGGCTGGCTGCGGGCAGGGGGTGCAGGGCGTGGCTGCGGGCAGGGGGTGCTGGGCGTGGCTGGAGGCGGGGGCTGGCTGCGGGCAGGGCGTGGCTGGAGGCGGGGGCTGGCTGTGGGCAGGGCGTGGCAGGGGGTGCAGGGCGTGGCTGCGGGCAGGGGGTGCAGGGCGTGGCTGCGGGCAGGGGGGGCAGGGCGTGGCTGGAGGCGGGGGCGTGGCTGCGGGCAGGGGGGCAGGGCGTGGCTGGAGGCGGGGGCTGGCTGGAGGCGGGGGCTGGCTGCGGGCAGGGCGTGGCTGGAGGCGGGGGCTGGCTGCGGGCAGGGCGTGGCTGGAGGCGGGGGCTGGCTGTGGGCAGGGCGTGGCAGGGGGTGCAGGGCGTGGCTGCGGGCAGGGGGTGCAGGCGTCTGGAGGCGGGTGGCTGGGCGGGGGCTGGCTGCGGCAGGGCGTGGCTGGAGGCGGGGGCTGGCTGTGGGCAGGGCGTGGCAGGGGGTGCAGGGCGTGGCTGCGGGCAGGGGGTGCAGGGCGTGGCTGCGGGCAGGGGGTGCAGGGCGTGGCTGGAGGCGGGGGCTGGCTGCGGGCAGGGTCATGGGCGCTCGCGGGCAGAGCGGCTCAGAGCTGCCCAGGCCCAGCAGAGCGGCCGGGGACCCCCAGGCAGCAGCGGGAGCCCCAGGGTCAGGGGAGCAGCCCCAGGGCTCGTGCCCAGGGCCCGGCAGCAGCCCACGCGGCTCCCGCAGCGCAGCGCCCCCGGCGGCCGGAGGGGGAATTACATCACTGCGCGGCCTGAGCCCAGCAAACCCTCAGCGCCCCCTGCAGGGAAGCGGGGTAACAACCGGTTCTAAAACGGCTTCAAAGTGTAACCACCGGTTTGCGCGAACCGGCTCCAGCTCGCCACTGGCTATAGCTATACGTACCGAGAACATGAAAAGTCGGAGTCAGAGGCTAATTAATTAAAATGAGCTCTTCTCAGCAGGAGGGTCACTTTTCGGAGAGGCTTTAAAAGAGGGGGGGGGGAAACATCTCTCTGCACTGCCACCTAGTGGACACAAAATGTATTCCTCCTGTAAAAGTTAGTGAACAATACGCTCAAGAGACGTAACGATTGCGAACATGCCCCAAGCTGATCCCTGGGGTTTTCCAGCCAGGGAGCAGACTGTTCTTTTTATTTTAATTATTATTTTAAATTAGAAAAAAAACCAGCTTTCTATTTTCCCACATGGGAAAGTCCTACAGAACTGAAGAGGGATTAAACCAACAGGGGTCTATAGAAATTGCTCCAAAAACCTAGGGACCCATCTGTCCTTAGGCACTGGTGTAGACATATCTGGGCTGTTTCAAATTGCAGTGCTGGTTATTTATGCAAACCAAGGTTGGATTCCTCCTCTGATCTTCAGTAATCAGCACAACCCGCTCTCCTCCCTCAGTGGCTTGGAGGGTCACTGTCTGAACTCTATGCTTTGTCCCCAGGATAGATCATTGGAACAACGAGAAGGAGCGTGTTGTGGTGATCACAGACACCACCCTCCTGGTCTGCAAATATGACTTCATAATGCTCAGCTGCGTCCAGGTGCAGCGGATCCCCCTGAGCTACATCGACCGTATCTGCCTTGGCCAGTTCACCTTTCCTGAGAGGTCTCTGGACAAGTGAGTACCAATGGCAGCCAGAGGCAGGGCTGGGGGGAAATTGAGGCCCCTTTGCTGAGCTGAAAGCTGTTGTGTCCCTGTCATTTCCTGCTTCCCCCTGATGTTCTGGGATCTCTCCAGGGCAGTGAGCTAGAGAGATCCCTCCCGGCACAGCACATGGGGGTGGGATGAGCAAACATTGCAGCCGTAGGACTTGATGGAACCTTTGGGATGATACTGTTACCAGATGAGCGGAGGGGAAGGAGGCAGGCAATCCGATCCTGCAAAGCCTCATCCCAGGAATATGGGGGGGGAGAGGTCAGGTCTCCTGTTGCTCCCCCCTCCACACCCCAAAGACAGAAGTTGGGGAGAGGCTGAGAGAGAATGAACCCCAGGTGACGGATGTTAGTCACATCACTTCGTTCACGACTGGGAGGGGCTCAGATACCGCAGCGATAAGGACAGCATACGACCCTACACAGACTAGAGTAGCCAGACCCAGAGGCAGTGAACAGCATGCCCAAGACTTCAGCTTATACTGGTAGTAGAGGGAGGTCCCACAACCTAACTACCAGGAGGAGGTATCCCTGGTTCAGAGATGCATACCGCTGGGTATGGCACGACCCTCCACCAGTACAGAATTGGTGGAGCTGCTGAGATTGACTGTGACTTAGAGGCAAGGTGTTCAGGTCCGGTATTCTGAAAGTCAAACCCCTTATGGAGACGGGCCTGAGCCGTGAAGTTTGGATCCACATTTGAACTCTGCCGGAGTGTCGCTGGACTCTCCGTCGTTCCAGTCTGAACTCTGCCGGAGTGTCGCTGGACTCTCCGTCATTTCGCTTTCGAGTTGGTCTCTTGTTTTTACCCCCGCGCTGTCAATCCAATACGGGTTGGCTGCGCTGAACTCAGGTGGCCTATTGGATGGTGCCAACTGGGAGAGAGTTATACAATGCTCCGAGCTTTTCTCCTTGAGCTAAGGGGGGAAAGGTCAGAGTCCTGCCGGGAACAAAGCTGCCATAATCTCACATTAAATGATCATTTGGCTCCCCGTTAAATGAGTATAACTAACAATGGGAGAAAGAAAAGGAGGACTTGTGGCACCTTAGAGACTAACCAATTTATTTGAGCATAAGCTTTCGTAAGCTACAGCTCACTTCATCGGATGCATAAAGTGGAAAGTACAGTGAAGAGATTTTATATATACACACAGACCATGAAAAAATATACATTGTAAGGAGAGTGATCACTTAAGATGAGCTATTACCAGCAGGAGAGTGGGGTGGGGGGAGACAGCTGCTACTCTGAAACCTAACAGTGGGAGAGCTCCCTGCAGCCTCCCAGCAGAGCACCCCCTCCAGCACCTTTCCTGAGCTTTGTGGGGGTTAATGCCTGTATCCTCTACTGTCATTATATTCTGTTGCTAGAGATATCATGCTCTGCTTCAAGAACTCATCACAATACAGTCTCTCTAGCAGGTAATTACCGTGCGTCTTATGAATGGTTGCATGTGAATGTCTGCTCACGCGGCTGACAGCAGCAAGTTCCAACACATCGTGCATACCAGGCATTTAACAACCTCTGTTTTATTTGTTCTAATGGCTCCTTGCCTTGCGCCTTGTTTTTCTTCACTGGCTCTGTTTGGTGTTTGTTTTTGCAAAGGCCAGAGTTCAGGTCTTTGATGCAGAGTTTGGGCTGGGATGGTGGCTTTGATTCACTCTGTTTCCATTGCTGTTGGACTGATTAAAGGGAGCCCTGTCCAGCAATTACGGCATGGGGCCATCTGTGATGAGTTCCTGTTCTGACTCTAGAAAATGTGCCCGAGAGCCTCAGCTGGTGTAAATCAGCATCACTCTATTGAGTCCAGTGCAGCCTTGCTGATTTACACCAGGAGGGTTTTTTCCAGCATTACTGCTTTCCCGGTGTCCCCAGCCCGTTGAATAACCTGGGTTGGGGCACTGCGCATCCTAGCCCTGACCGGAAGTGCTCTCTCATCGCTGGACCACTCAGCTGTTCGGTGCAGCGAATCTCCAAACCCTCCATCATTGTTCGATGGCAGCATCCACAGCTACCAGTCACTGCCTGTTTCCCGGCACTGGGGCCTAGCTGTGGCTAACCATAGCATGCCAGGCTGCCCTCCAGTGATTCCTTACAGCTCCGTAGACCTGCTCTGCTCCTTTCTTTTGCAGGGGCTGTTGCTGATCTCCACCCAGCTGAGAGCAGCAAGGCCCTTGGCAGGCAGACACCCTCAGAGGGGTCCGTAGCTCAGATGACATTCCCTGTGTCCTGGCAGGGTAGCTAGAGGGGCCGGCACTAAGGAGAAAGAGGCACGGCTCCCGATTCACTGCAAAGAGAGGGACTCTGTGTTCAGCACCATTATCCGTCCAGGCTGAGCTGGTGCCTGGCTCCGTGTGCAAGGGGGAGGAGGGAATGAAACCGCTTCCCTCACCACTCCAATCCTGCTAGCGCTGCCAGCGATTCTGGCTCGGCCCTGGTAGGAAGGGCTTGTGTCACTGGAGCACGTGGCTCTGGGTTTGGTCCCAGCTGTTGCGGTGAAGTTCAGCGTGGCTGTGACGGCCCAGGGGGACAGTGAAGTGGGAAGGGGGGCTGGGTTTGTTGCACTACCGTTCCCCTGTGCTGGCTGCTGCTCCTCCCAGAGAGGCCAGTCATATCTGGCCTCTTCTCCAGGGTGGCCGTGTTCCTCACTACACTTCCCCTCGAATGATGGGGGCAGAGTTACAGTGTAATAATGGCCCCCTCCATTGTCTGGGTTCTGGTCTTCCATGTTCATGTGGCTGTGACCACGCCATGGTCACCCTCTGTGAGGACAGGAGCTTGCTGACCGCGTTTTCTCCCAACTCAAGTGGCAGAGGCCTGTGCTTATGGTGCTGAAGTTCACTGGCTGGGTCCTCTCTGTTGACTCATGTCTGCGGCCATGTTGCTGTGCACTGCTGCGGCCCAGAGGTGGCTGCATTTTGGCATTGTGCAAAGTGCTTTATAGGTGTGTCTCTATGCACGTTAGTGATTGATGTGATTGAAAGGTGCTACAATAAATACAAGCTAATGTTGTTGTTAGAAATAGCGTAACTGAGGCTCAATTAAAATAACTGCCAGCCTTCGAATTCGCTCCCTTGGGGCAAAGGAGGAAATTAATTTGGCTGACTTCCTGTAGCTCTGTTTCTTTTGGACTACATTTAAAGCAGACAGTGGGCCGGATCCTCAACTGGTGCAAATCGGCACTGACGTCAATGGAACCTGGCTGGCGTGCACAAGCTGAGGATGTGGCCAAATGAGGCTGCTAAAGGTCAGTGTATGGAGGAAGCAGAGTTAGCCGAGAGCTGACTGCATCGGCTTTTAACCATGCCTCCAATCTGAGGCGGGATCAGAAGGCCTGAGACCTAAGCAGTGTGTGTTCCATCATTGCTCTCATCTGGCAGCCCTTTCAGACTGTGAGGGGTTACACAAGCACTTTTCCTCGGGTCGAAATCGGCTTTCATCTCAGGTGGATTCCACTGGGCTTGTCTCTGTCTGTGGTCTAATCCCCACTCGAACTGTGCTGGCCTGAAATGCTCGCAAAACCCTTTTCCCGGCTGCTTCAGCAGCGGCATCTCCCATCCAGACACTCTAACTATGAGAAGCAGGGAGCATACAGCAGGGTGCGTGGATAACTCCAAGGGAAACAACGGGCAGGTTTCATCCCTTCCCTGGTCTCCTGCCGAACTAGCTTTGCCAATATTTTAGCTGCTCTACCACTAAGATTAGCTGCTCTCAGGAGATGGCCAGGTGCCTCCTGGGCATTATTCATTTGAACTTTGTCAGAGCTCAGTCCATTGAAGTCAATGGCAAAACTCTATCGGAATGCAGCAGGAAGATTTAGCCAGTGGACTTATGCCTGATACACACTAGTATAGATGAGATCCGACTCTGACCTGGTATATTTTGCTGTGCAGTTTACACAAGTGTTGTTAAAGCTACTAATTTAGCAGGAGTCTCTCAAAGAAAACAATACACCTGAAATGCTGGAAGCTGTTTACCGTCAGACTCTGTTGATCTGTGCAAGACACTGCACCCAGGGCCACAAGGCAAGAGGAGAAATGTTAAAATGCGAAGGGACAGAATAAAGGAGTGAAATATTCTTTCTCTCCCCTTCTTTAATGTGTCACCACTCCTGTTTTCTTAGCTGTAATTTTACCCAAGGATTGTCTGTGGAATTTAGCAGGGCATTTGGGGATTGGGATATTCTCTGCCACTGCACCACTTCTGGGACTTCCATGGGGTTTATACAGCTCTGTACAGTTGTGGTGGGTGAGAGAAGTCTGCTCTTTGGCTTTTGATTCCAAATCAACAGGACTTCAAGTAATACGTATAACCCATATTTTCCCACAGAAGTTTTACAACATGCACCAATCAGTGCCACTAGGTGGCGGAGCGGAGCAGATATGCTTTGTGTTAGTGAAAAAATGTTACCTTTTTGCCATGGTTTCATGTTTGATTGATGAGATCACATTGTATCTGGTGGCTTGCTTTGGTCCTAACCCTCCATCTTTTGGCTGTTTAAAGTTAGGCTGGACCAGAGGACATTTGTGCTGAAAGTTGAGGGCGAAAGAAGAACATCCGGAACAGGAAGACTTGACAGACTGCACAGCCACCGGTCAGAATCCCCAGTGTTAGGGTTCTTTTATTTGCAGAAAATGGGCTGTAAATATGGGGCTGAGCAGGAGCTATTAGGTTCTGCAGCTGCACATTTCAGAGGCCTGCTCTACATGGGAAAGTTGCATCCGTTTAACTGAAATCCAATTTAAACCAATGCAAACCCCCCTGTGTGGACACTCTTATTTCACTTTAATTTAGCTTAATCCTGTTCCCAATCAGTTTAAACTACACTCATATAGGCCCTTCTGAAACCGAGATGAGTGTCCAAGCACGGGTTAGCAGCACTTGAACTAAATCCATTTAAATTCATGCCTTAGGTTAAACCAGCCCAAATTTCCTATGTAGAAATGAGTTTGAACAGGAAACTCTCA